ATTTTTAAAATATTCATATTTAAGAAATATCCAAATAACATTATAATTAATCTTGCGCGGAATGAGATTATTATTTTTGTTACTATTAAGATAAAAATGATATTATGATTGTTTAGTTTGGATATTGGTTCAGTTTTTTGTTGTTTTTTAATGTCCTAAAGTGTAAAACTATCATTCTAAATCTATATTTATCTTGGTTTGTTTGCTTTAAATGTTTGATGTTTTTGATTTTTTCGATAATAACCAAAAAACTATTGTTATTTGTTTGGTTTCGTTTTATATAAATTTTAGACATTTTAATGTCGAACTAATAGTTTCCTATAATAATTTCTAAAGACATGTAAAATAAAATAAAATAAAATCTAAATAATCTTTGAAGAAAAATAAAATAAAATTATGAACACAAAACATTTCACTACAATTTGAATGATAGTGAAAGAAAATATTAAAAAAAAATTCAATTTCAATAAGAATTAAAATTCTCACTTGTGGTGAATATTTAGTTATATAGTCGCTCATGTCAATCTGTACATGTGTGTATATGTAAAAAAATATAAATGTGATGATAAATATATGAATATACCTTTAATTAAGATTTAAAACATTTTTGTTCAAAATAACACATGATAGTAAATTCTTAAATAAATTAAGTAAAAATAAACATACCTAAAACTTAATAACATTTTTTCATATGAATAAAATCAAATTGTACCCGTAAACAATAAAAATAATATATATTACAAAGTGACACTTGGTACATGAATTCTGTTTTTAATCGATTTTGTGATTTTATTTATTTTTTAAGCTTTTTTTATTTCTTATTTTCTTCTACCAATTTGATTTTGTTTATAATTCTTGGTCTGATATGAAAACTTTATAAAAATGTTAATATTTGACTAAACTAAAGATCCGACTTTACGTGTTGTGTTTTTCACCTCAGTTTCTTTAATTCATAATCAATCACTGTATTTATTATTATTGTGTACCAACCATGACAAACTTCGGCAAGGTACGCAACTTTCAGTTTCTACAAACATTTTCATCACAAAATTTTGTTGATGCGAATCTTAATGATTTTGTAATTTTTTTACAATAAAGATATTATTAATTAGTTTCACGTAGAAAGGTTTAATTTATTAATACAAAGACTAAAAGTATAGGAAAAATGAATTAATTAAAATAGTATATAAACACATTAAATAATGAATTTAAAAAATTAGTGTGTGAACGTATTAATTGTCCAATGATTGTGAGACCGACACGTGTCAATCACGGTGTGAACGCATTTATTACAATGCTTCTCTATTAATATATAAGAGCATATGCAATGGTGAGGTTCATTGGTGAATCCTTAGCCATTTTTTTTTAATAGTTAAGGATCCGAAGCAAAATTGTATGTCCAATGGTGTACCCGAAGATGGAGTCCTTAGGGAAACTTTTTTTTTAATTTGAAACTAATATTAATTGCATTATTAAAAAAAAAGATACAATGATTAAAAATAAACATATAAAAGATACACTAATTAATTTTCATCACCAAACTTATTCCAAATATTTTCGATTAAATCATTCTTAAATCGTTGATGGATACGGCTATCACGAAGATCATTCCGATTGGGAAACATAATATTCAGATTTGTAGGTCTCGGTCTCGACCTCTGAATTTCTAGTGACGTCTCCTTCTTCAAATTCTGAAATATCGTACCGCATGTAACCATCTCGTTCATTTTCAACTATCATATTGTGTAGTATGATACATGCTCGCATAATTTTCCCTATCTTTTCTTTGTTCAATGTACGTACCGGGTTTTTGACAATCACAAATAGAGCTTGCAATACTCCAAAAGCCCACTCTACATCTTTTCGGGCTGCTTCTTGAACTTTAGCAAATAACTCTTGTTTAGGACTCTGAGTGAGTGTGATAGATTGGATAAAGTTGACCATTTTGGATATATACCGTCTGTGAGGTAATATGCCAACTTATACATGTGTCTGTTGACCATGTACCTTACTCTGGGAGCTCGGCCTTCTAAAATGTCATCAAACACAGGAGACCGATTGAGGACATTAATATCATTTAAGGTACCTGGAGGACCAAAAAATGCGTGCCATATCCAAAGATTGTGTGAAGGTACTGCCTCTAAGACAATTGTTGGTTTTCCTGATCCACGTGTGTACTGTCCTTTCCAAGCGGTCGGGCAAATTTTCCACTCCCAATGCATACAGTCAATGCTCCCGACCATCCCAGGAAACCCTCTTTTCTCTCCAATATCGAGTAGTTGTTGATGATCATCCGGTGTGGGTCGTCTAAGATACTCATCTCCGAATAACTGTATTATTCCGTCCGTAAAATTATGTAAACACAAAAGTGCAGTGGATTCACCAAGTCGGAGATATTCCTTAACCGTATCAGCCGCAGCGCCATAAGCAAGCATACGAATTGATGCCGTACATTTTTGTAGTGCTGACAGACCGAACCTCCCGGTTGCATCTCTTCTTTGCTGAAAGAATAGAATGTTCTCGGATAGGCCATGGACAATACGCAAGAATAAGTTCTTATTCATACGGAAACGGCGTCTGAATAATTGTGCCGGGAATGTCGAATCTTCGCTGAAGTAGTCATTCCATAAGCGGTCGTGTCCTCCTTCACGGTTTCGTTCAATATATTCACGGTTCCTTTAGTTACTGGTTTGGCCCTCGACTATATCGGTGAATGTTTCTTCGAATATTTCTTCGAAAACTTCTTCAAATCTTTCTTTGAAAACGTCATCGGACGAAGATGAAGACATTGTGAAGGGATCATGCGCCAAAAATTTATTATAAGTTTTTTAATCTATGAAACCGTAATCTTTGAAAAAATATTATAAAAATGTAAGTTCAAATTTATAATAACCCTTTTCGATTTATTAATAACCTTTTTCAATTTATTAATAACCTTTTTCAAATTTATTATAACCTTTTTCAATTTATTAAAGATATTAATTTGTTTTGAGATTAAATATATAGAAGTGATGAGATTAGGTTGAGATGATGTATATAACGAGTTGTACTCTAACGCATGAGATGATATAAATATAAAAGTGATGACATTGAATTCGTATGTAAATAGAATGGTTGTGAGATGATATATAAAACTGATGAGAATATTAAATAGAAGCAAAGACATGATATATAGAAGTTCAAAGTTACCTAAAAGAAATATATAAACATGACAAGAGTACAACATCCATACTTACCAAAGTAGAAGCTACAAGAGTACAACTCGAAAGTACAGCAACAATATTACAACTTCAGAAGACAAGAGTTTAAGTTTGATAGAGAGGAAACACAATGAGATTTCTAAAATTCTGCAAGCAACAAAGCAATACTTATACAACCTCAAAGCACCACCCATGACATTCTCAAAGCACCACCCGTGACATTCTACTGCTCTTGAGGAAAACAACAAAAAACTTCCAACACTCCGTGACTTGGTACACCCGTGACTACTGCTGTACCTGAAAGAAGACAAAGACGAAAGTTAGTAAACATGCAATGCACACATGTAAATAACAAGCAATAGCAGAATTCAAATAAAGATATAGCTTTCATAAAGATATTAATCGGCCACAACTAGACAAACTTATATAGGGCAGAATTCAAATTAGTAATACCTTATTAAACATAATACCCTAATACCTTAGACATTAATACCTTACTAGCATCATATCATCTCAGACATGAGTTTAAGTTTTAGAGATTCCTCCATCTCAGATAATTAATCTTTTTTGGCAAGTAAACGTTGCAGGATCTTGTGTTTAGATAGTTTTTCTTTCATTTCCATGATGACCTGCAGTTGTGACATCTCTTCTTCTTTGCCACTCTTCTTCCTCTTACCAGCGGCTTTAGCAGCTTTCACACCAACTGGTCTGACTTCAGGTTCGGCTACATCCTCTTCTGTATCAACATCAAAAACTTGTTTTCGCTTGTCCTTCCCTCCGTCTTTAGATATATAGGTAGTGCACCATTTCTGGTCATGTCTGAGCTCCCTCCACGCATGTTCCAGACCAAACTTGTGGTCGTAAATCTTGAAAATGAGTCGAGGGCAGCATTCATAACATCATCATCATTCGTTCCACTTCTTTGAGCCCTCAACGCCGCATCATAACATCCTACGAACTTACAGACTTGTTCGTTGATCCTTGCCCATCTCTGCTTGGCTGGACGAATCTCTCTAGGTACCACACCAACTAGTTGAGGGATTGCGTTGTAGTAATCAACGATTCTCTTCCAGAAACGTTCAGCTTTCTGGTCACAGCTGACTACGGGGTCTTTGCTGGTGTTAAGCCACGCTGCAATGAGGATTTTATCCTCAATTGGAGACCATTTCCTACGCTCAACACTAGACTGGACAGGAGACTCGACACTAGGTTGGAAAGAAGACTCGAAACTATGTTGGAAAGAAGACTCGACACTATGTTGGAAAGAAGACTCGACACCAGGACCTTGGCTACCGAACCAAGCAGGTTCAGATGACTCAAGGTCAATTGAAGATTGACTATACATTAGATTAACAAACCCAGTTGTGTTATTCATGTTTAGATGATGGTCTGTGATGCTCTATTAGCAACACATGCACTTAAGTAAGCGTTCAAAAATGTAAGATTTTTAGGTTCGGAGTAGTTATTAGGCAGATAGAAAGCAAAGAAGCATTTACCAACACCCAAATCAGAGTAATAAGTATAACCAGCATATTTAGTTTAACAGTACTTAGCAAGTACAATTCTATCAAATCTAAGGGGTTAGGAAGCAATACTAGCATTAAAAGTCATTAAAGCTCAACCAATAAAGCTAAATGTTTTTATTCGTTGAAATTATTTAACGTAAATGTTTTTATTCGTTGAAATTATTGAAGCTAAATGTTTTAATTCATTCAAATTAGTTAAGCTAAATGTATTTGAAACTGAAACTAAAAAAGATTGAAAGTATTGTACCTGCGAAGCCCATCTCCAGTTCAGACACTACTCTTTAAATCCCCCCATGTTTCTCCTTCAAAGACATATAAAAGATAAAAAAGTTAACAATCTGATTTTCAGTCAAACAATATTATCTAGAAAAAGGAATGAAACATTACCCGCCCATCACGATGACCAGTACAACCAACACCAGTAGAGAAACTCCCTTTGCAAACCCATATTTGACAACTGAATTCTTCTTACTTAACGAACCCAAGATCTTCTCTAGCTTAGCCACCTTCTGGTCAATCTCAAAGAATTGATCCTTGAGCATCCTAAATTGTGTCTGCATTTCAACAAGCTCTTCTTGAACTGCCACATCCCACCATTTCCAGATGTGGCAGTTTCCATCGTCAACGTTCTCGCATGAGAAGAACCTCCTTCCTGGATGTTTATGCGTGTATGACGTTGCAATAAGAGGGTCACTGCCGCAATAGCATGTCCTCAGGATTCCTTCATCAGCCTCGGGTCCCCGTGGAAACTGATCCGCCTCTACAATTTTGTAGCTACTCTGACCTTCATCGGCGTAGAGATCAGCTTCTGCTTGAAGTAGTTCGGTCATGTCAAACTCCTCCGATATGAAGAAGGCTGAGTGTAGCTATAGTCTTGTCCCATGTTCGTTGGCCTGCAAAAAAACAAATAAACTTTGTCAGCGAAGAAGAAAACAAATCATTAAAACACAAAGCAAGAACCAACACAAGATTATGAACACAATAACTAATAATTGATAAGCAACCAAAGAGACTAAAGACTAACAACACATTGACATAATGAGTTTAATAAGAACACATTATGGGAAACTCATACAAAATTTACTATAACAACGAATTGAAGCCCTAACTACAAATCAATGAGTTTTCGGGGAAAGTAAACTGATTGAAACCCCAAATACAAACCAAATGATCCCCAATTGAAAACGATTTGAAAAGGAATTGAAACCCTAACTATAAACAAAAAACCCCCATTTGAAAACCCTAACTACAAATCAATGAGTTTTCGAGGAAACTAAACCGATTGAAACCCTAACTACGAACCAAAGAATCACCAGCTGAAAACGAATTGAAATCGAGAAACTTTTGGAAACCCTAAAAATCGAATAAATCCCCAAATCGATTCTAAAAGAAAGACGAAGAACAAGGAAGGTAATATATCCTAAAATCTATCAGAGATGAAGGCTATTAACCTTTCAAGATCATGAAACAAGAGGATCGACGACGGAGACAAAAATCGCCTTCTCGTCTCCACCTCTGCTTTTTTTTTTCTCGACTTCGAAGCAAAATGATTTTTTTTTTTAGGACTCCACCGAAAACAAAAGCCGCAAGACACAACAATAACGCGACACGTGCATAAGGACTTGGTCCTTCTACACCTTCTTTACGGACTGATCCATTAAAAAAGCAATCCAATAATCAATATTTTATTTTGTTTGGGCTAAGGATTTTGGGCTAAGGACCCCGCACGGACCCCGTTGCGGTTGGTCTAAAGGATGTAAGAGCATGCACATTGAGGTATTATAAGGGGGGATCACACGCTTCCCTAAAAAAAAAAATATTAAAATAATAGAAAACTTGTGAACCTGAGTCACAAAAGTTGTCTGCCGCCGGTTCATTGCAGTTTTCGTGGGCCCCACGCCACGTGGCGGCCCACGATTGGCCCATTAACTTTTTTTTTTTTTTTTTTTAGAAAAGCAAACAGAAAAAGGTAAAAAAAAAATAATAAAAAAATATTTTCTGTGAACCCCATCCTCGGTTTACGAATGTGGGTGCTCTAAACATGAAAAACAGTACTTTTGAATATTATGTTAATTTTTTGTGTCAAAGATAATGTTGTTCACTCATTTTTGGCCCCAACAGTTTTTTTTTTTTTTCACATTCCAAGGTCCTGAAAATTTATAACTACGAAAAAGAAGAAAGGTAGAAAAGCGCCGCCTATCTGGAGAATTTGTAAAGACACGAGGAGGTGAGTCTTCCGGAGACTGCGTAAACCCTAATTTCCTTCGCGAAAAGGGGGGGGGGGGTTTGGTTCAATTTCCATTTCGAAACGATGACGCATCATCACTCAACCGGCGACGATTCGGAGTTGGAAGTAAGACCTGATGATGCTATACCCGTCCAGCAAAAAGCCTCCTCTGACGCACAACCTCTCCAACAGGATCCCGACTCTTCTTCCGCCGTTTCTACTCAGACCATCAGTATCACCGTTTCACATGACTCCTCGGAGCACCTTCTTCATCTTTCTGACCACTCCACTTTCGGTACGCTCTTTTTTCCGCCTCATTTCGAGATCCGTGTTTTTCCTTATATTATAGAGTTTAGGAGGAGGTCTGATCCATTACCTCCAAACTAATATTCATCGTTTGTGTCTTGTTGGATCACACACATTTTTGTACATACATTCACTTGTTTCTCTCAATTCTTCAAAACATCCATCTTTGTAAAGTGATTAAAAGACGAAACTGATTCATGTCTACATTACACAATTTGATTCTTACATGTTGCTTATAGAGAAGTAGAACAACTGCTATACAAGTAGTAGCTTTAGGACAACAACAACTTCACCAGATTTTCCTTTGATTTGTTTAAGAGCTAAATGATATCTCAACACACTGTAGAGCGAAATTCCTGTTTATTTATTTGTGTTAATAATGTTGTTAAAGAAAGATTGATATCTTTTGGCTCAAATGTGTTTAATAGGGGATGTGAAGAAAGAATTTCTCCTGAAAACTGGATTGGAAGCTAGTCATGTCAAAATTTTGTTCAATGGAGATGAGAAAGATGATGCGGAGCAATTGCAAGCTGCTGGTGTTATTGACGGCTCTATGGTTCTCCTTGTGGAGGGACCGCCTCCTGTGATGACGGAAGAGATGGCTAAGGCTATTGCTGCAGTTCAAGCTGTCACCAGAGAGATCGATCAGCTCTCCGATAGGGTGAATTTTCGTAGAGCTGCTGCATCTTTTTGGTTGTTGTTGTTCTATCGTGCTTAAGCTGATTTTTTTTTTGACTTTTGAAATATATATATAAGGTTGTTGCGTTAGAGGCTGCTGTCGATGGAGGGACGATAGTTGCGGTGAAGGAGTTTGACATGACTGCTGAGCTGCTCATGAGGCAGTTGCTCAAATTGGATGGCATCAAGGCAGATGGGGAAGCTAGAGTACAGCGAAAGGCAGAGGTTTGTTTTTCCATCTGTAACATTCTTCTTCATTTGTCTGCATCGTTAACTATTTTTACACCATAAACGTGTGATCATGAATGAAAGATATGCATCTGATACTTGTGAGTTAATAGGCTTTGGAATGATCTAAATTTGGATAACATTTCACATTTCCTGAGATTAGAGACGTTTATGTTGTGCTCTAGTGTTACACTTGTGATTGTTTCTTCTTTCTATATCTTCAGTGTAAATTGAGCATCTGCATAGAATTGATTGGGGGATTTGTGTCGCGCAGGTACGTAGGATCCAAAAGTTGCAGGAGGATGTGGATGCGTTGAAGGCAAAATGTTACAGAGCAAAGCCGCAGCTGTAAGCACTGAGTCAGAATCCTTCGGATATGGTGTTGGAAAGCTTGAACCCTCTGCCACCTTCGCCTTGTGCCAATGTAAACCCAAAATTGGGGGAGATTTGACTGAAATTTTATTATTCTGTTGCTAAAAATATATTGCTTTTTTTGGTATATTTAAATTGGGAAATTACCAGAAAATTGTCGGCTGGTTGTATTCTGGTTCTTGGAATGTCTGTATGGACTTTTTGGTATCTCAATCTGAATAGTAATACATCTTTCTACGAAATGGTCACATACCTTGTTGTAGGTTTACGTGACTGTTGGATGAAGTTCAATCAAGTCTCGAGTGTTTATTTGATGTTTGTCTTCCCATGTTGTAATCCCCATAACATGAAAACACAAGTACACAACCATGAAATAAGGAAACCAATCGGGCATGTAAGTTTCGTCATGATCAAATTCAAATCACTTGTAAATTTATCATTCTTTTTAATGTAAGGGTGTCAAGCATGTTGATGGTCCGATCTTTGCCCAAGAGAATTGGGGGTTAACCCATTTGCATATGATGGGCCAAATTACTAACTGGTTCCTTGATCAAATGAATGGGCTTATGGATGTTGAGCATCCAAACAGAAAATTAAACAACACCTTAGTTTGTATCTAGATTCGAAATCATAAATACTGTTTTGAAGAGTAAATGTGAAATATAAGGTGGGGACAGAGAGAAATAGACAAGTGAATTTGGTGGGTAATGTAGTACGATCCGTGCTTTTTTTTGGATAACAATTCCATTTCTTTACCCAAACGACATTCTTAGCTGTCTCACCCACATGACCTGATTGTTGTTTCATTCTCATCTCAATTATGTTCCAACTATATTTTATAATATTCTTATGCCATCACACAAACTAATCACCAGCAATATCATCAGACTTAATCATAGCTTCTTAGTGTATGATTTAATTACGTTTACTCCCCTTAAGCATAAACATATAACAATTAACAGTAAAACGTGTTGACATGACTTCTCCGCTCTATGTGGGTGCCATCAGCTATTTGCCGGCTCTCTTACAGCACATATAATCATTCTTTGTTCTCGCCATTTGTTATGTTCTGTCAGGAAATATTTTAATTACACAAATACTCTTACGATATTTCCTACATTTGTATCATTTTTGAGAAAATTACAGCACCGGCATGTGGTAGCCCCAGAATATAATTTACATTATGAATGTATATAGATGATAACGACGAATGACTGCAGAAAATTTGTGGAAGATTCAGTCAGATTTATAGTGTCTCCTTTTCGAAATTTAATACTGGTCTGACCGACTAGCAGACAAGGCCGGCGTCGGGCAAAGCCGGATGAAACATTGGCCTTGGCCCCCAATTTTTTTTGAAAAATTTATATGTATATAGGGCCCCAAAAAAAATTTTAGGCCCCCAAATCCGTAAAAAAAAAAGTTTTAGGTGAATCGTTCAAAAATCGCCTTAGGCCCCATAATTCTCAAAGCCGGCCCTGCTAGCAGTAGCAGACAAGAATTGTAATGGTCGAAGAATGAAAAAAAATAGGGTATAATGGGTTGCCTGCATATTCCCCTCCATAGTTATACAGACCCTACTTATTACCCCTAAAGTACTAAGCTCTTCATTAACCCACCCAAACTTATAATTTTCTTTACATCTCTCCCCAAGCTTTTTTAATCCCCCTCTCTAATTTAAATTTGTAATCGAGATTAGTGGAACAAAAATCGCGTTTAGGAAATAGAGATTTCCCAATTATAAAACACCCGACCCGATATTAAAAAAAATCCGACCCAGATTTTAAAATCGAATTGGAGCTTTTTTATAGGGTTTCTTATATGTTTTTCACTTACAACACAAACAACGAATAACAGAGAGAGAGGGAGAGATAGACAAAGATGACGAGGAACAAAGAGAGGAGAGAGACATACCTCAAAAGATTGAAGACAGAGACGACGATCCGTTGTTACAAGACATCAACGCTACAAGACAGAGACGACGATCCGTTGTTACCATTACCACAACACTGCAACAATGCACGATGAGCATTGAAGAGATGATGCGTGTTTCAGCTAAGGACAGTGTGGCATTGTATAGGAAGCTTCCATGTGTATGACGACAAGTTGAAGAAGCTAGTGAACAAAAGTTAAAGAGTTTGAGGAGAAAAAAACTTGGGACGAAAGCTGTGAAGAATTTCTCATGACCAGTAATCATGGTTCTGTTGGAATTCTCTCTATTTTGCTTTGCCTCTTCATGGCGAGCTTCCTCACGTTCTTTTTTTTTTTACTTGTGTTTAACTTACACAAGCACACACTTTCTTTACTCTCACTTTACATTTGTTCTTGTTCTTATAGAGAGAAGAGAGAACACTTTTCATCTCTACATTTTTCTTATTGATTTGGATATTTTTCTTACAATAGCACAACACATACTTACTCTACTCCATGCCTCTACATTAGGCTATAGGCTAAGCCTACAAGAAAAGCCAAACAACTTGCTTCTAGTTACACAATCCAACTCACTTTGACTTCATGTTGTCCACGTTGGCTTTACTCTTCTTCTTGTTCCTCAGTTTCGTGCACGCCAAGCTTTCTTCCTCTTCTTCATCTTCTTCTTTTTTCATATTTGTACCTTCTTCTCTGATACGCTTCTTTGTTGTTCTTCATTCTCCCTTTGTAGTATTTAATCAAAGGTTCAATCTCCACATGTTAACCTGTTTTCATGCTTGGTTTTGCTTGTTTATGCTTGAATATGGATAATGCACTGGAAGAAAAAAAAACACATAAATTTAAAAACAGGTTTTTACACAACAAAAGACACAAAGTACAGACCCTAGTTAGAGTTTTAAAGAACAAAAAAGCCACAAAAGTATAACTATATAGTGTCATCCTCGTTTATCTCTTCTGTCCTTTCTCTCATTTCTTTCTTTCTCTGTCTTCCTCGTTTTTGTTTGTGTGTCGAGACTTTGTTTCTGTCGTCAAAAAGCGAGAAGTCTCTTAACCCTAACTTTAGTTTTATTCCCAATTCGATTTTTTTTTAAATTAAGTTAAGTTGGGTCGGATCTATGTTTTCTATGTCGGACAGATTTTTTAATTGGGCAATAGCTGTTTATAAAACACTATTTATAACTTTTTAACTATGATTTGGAAATTCAATTAGAGAAGGGGATCTGAGCAGACCCTAAAAGATTGGAGGGAGATACGAAGAGAATGTATATGTTCGGGTGGACTTATCAAGAGCTTAGTAGTTTAGGGGGAAATAAATAGGGTATGTGTGTTCATGGGGAGGAATAGGCAGCCAACCCAAAAAAATATACAGGGGATTATAGTTTTAACGGATTTTAACAAATATAACTGATTTTGTGATTTTATATCTATATGACAGAAAAACCTTGCCAGGTGTCGTTATTATGAGTATATAAAATATACAGCTAAATATAAAACTTACTAAGTTTATAGAAAATATTACTGAAAATATTTGTTAAGAATAAATTTGTAGCTAAAAGATCATTCGTCGTTGTGTTGTGTGGTCTGTTCAACTAAAGTATATTAAATATTGTGAATCCAATGTTCATTCGTTATATTGTAACGAACAAGTAAGCAAAGAAAATATATGATAAAGTATAAACTATCAAAACTCAAAATTAATATTTATTTTCAACTTTGTGGAGATGTAAAAAAATGAGGCGAAATCTAAGAAATAAAGAAAACTGCAGTTGATAAGTCTTTTTAACTTTATAGAAGAAGAGGATAATTTGAGTTTAAACTAATAATGGAAATAAACTAATCAAATTAGTTTCAAAAAGCTAACAAGAGGACAAAAGAACTAAAAAGGCAAAAAAGCGAAAAACACTCGAATAAAAGAAAAGAAACCACAAACACACATAAATTAAACAGAAATTGGTGGAATTGTCCCTAAATAGACCTCATATTTGCCATCTAACCTTCCAAAATAGAAACTATTTTGTCTGACCATTATACCCCTATCTCATTCTCTCTCTCTTCTCTTCCATATCTTCTAATCTCTTTATCTCTCACACATGACATATTTATGCTTTTATTTTTTCATCATAAATCTCTATTTTTTACTCTGATTCTTTTGACACTCATATTGCTAATGTTATTATCTCACACTAATTCTATTATTTCTAATTTCAAATCTTGAAATATACATTCTTTTATTTAGATAATATGTAAGTTAGCAGCTATTTCATTATTTACCCGTTATTATTATATTTTAATGAATTTGTAACCGATATATAGAGTGTTAGCTGTTACAAATAGGATTACGGCTATTTGATTGATAATTGATTAGCGGTTAATATATGTATTTTTATGATAATAGTATTATTAACATGCTAATATATTTGTTAGCGATTTATTTAACACATTAATAAATAGACATAACCCGATAACAAAATTTGTAGCATGTTAAAATTTTGTCAATTTGCTAACAATTTTTATATCATGTTAAAATTGATAAATATATGTATTTTTATGATAATAGTATTATTAACATGCTAATATATTTGTTAGCGATTTATTTAACACATTAATAAATAGACATAACCCGATAACAAAATTTGTAGCATGTTAAAATTTTGTCAATTTGCTAACAATTTTTATATCATGTTAAAATTGATAAATATCTCTTAGTGTTCAGTTAACATAATGTGTATCCGTTAAATCTAAAGTTACATGTTTTC